GCAAACAGCCGATCCCCAAATGGGGCCCACGCTGCAGCGGGAGGACTGTCCTAAAACACCCGAGACAAGCCAGAACAAAACCAACCAAGTTCTTGTTAAACAACATATGCGGTGTGTAAAAGAAACATCACGCGGAGGGGGCGGGAGATCCTCCTGTCATTTTCGGAGGAGGAGTATTAGGTACAGTAGTATTTATATCGTTGAGATGCGGAGGGATATGGAGGGATGATGAAGGACGAGGAACAGGTGGAGGATGACGGTGAGGACGATGATGATGATGACGATGATGATGCTGATGATGCTGATGATGAAGCTGATGATGCTGATGATGATGATGAGGATGATGATGATGATGATGATGATGATGATGATGATGATGATGATGATACTGATGATACTGCTGCTGATGATGATACTGATGCTGCTGCTGATGATGATGTTGATGTTGATGTTGATGTTGATGTTGATGATGATGATAATGATGATGATGATGATGATGATGATGATGATGATGATGATGATGATGATGATGATGATGATGATGATGATGATGAGGAGGAGTAGGAGGATGAGGAGGAGGAGGAAAGGGAGAAGAAGGAGCAGGACCAGGAGCAAGAGAAGGAGCAGGAGGAGGAGGAGGAGGAAGAGGAGGAGGAGAGGAGGAGCTTGGCTTGACGTATCAAGGAGTGAGCTGGACCCAGGATTCACGTTAAAGCTCGGGGGGAGGAGGTGGATCAAGTCAGAAAGCGTGAGGCCTACGAAGAGGCGAAGGAAGAGGAGTGTTGGGCCGCTACGTATAAAGCACCAATCGGTCCGAATTGGGTAGACATCAACAAGGGAGATTAAGCCATTCCCGATTACCGATCCTGGCTGGTGGCACAGCAACTTACAGTGGGAAGTTCAACTCCAAGTGGCAGAATGTTTGCTGCCGAGCCTCCACTGGGAACTCAACAACTAGTGTGTTCCACGGCTATTACCGAGGGGACAGGATATAACATCAGGGAGCGTGAAAAGGGATTCAAGCTGGGAGTTACTGATCTTAGGCAGGTATTCTGCTACGCCAAGTCCAAGAAGAGCATCTTCATCAGGTTGCCCGAAAGGGATCGTCAACCGGGCATGTGTGGAATCTTTTAGAGGCAACGTCTGGCACATGGGACGCTGACGACCATCGAGGGGACCGGGCCCTGGATCTCGCAGGCGACATTGATTGGACGGGAAGGTATCACCATGTGTGTTGAAACACATGACAAGGCGAGTGTGGTTAACATTGTCTTCAGGTGATTTCCTTCAAGTGGGTGACGATCTTGACCTTGACTGGTTCGGAGGAGAAATCAAGAGGAAACGCGAACATTAATCCGAGGCGCGCTCGGACCAGGACCAGACTGCTCGAATTAAATCAGGCTTCTCAGCCGACTTGAAGAAGGGAGCTTCGGCTGGTTATAGTATGAGGCCAACCTGGGACATGTAGCTAGATTTGGAAAGAGAATCGGGCCTGGAGCAGTGCAAAATGATATTTGAGATACCGAGGGAGTAGCAAAGGTAAGAGGAGGAAGATGAGGAGGCGCTTCGCAGCCTCGAAGTTAAGACATGCCAAGCTTTGGTGGCCAGAGCCAGATATATTGAACAGCGTCTTTCAGACATGCAGCTTTCAGTCAAAGGGTAGCGCGCCCAGTGTCAGCGCCAATCTGGTGTGCATCGAAAGGCTTGACCAGACTGGGCAACTGCCCCAAGACTCACGACAGGTGTGGGTATCAGTATTTTTGTATCAAGAATGCCTAATGCCCTAAGTAGTTCAACGGGTGGACTGATACCATCTTCGCTGGACGTAGGAAACACGCAAATCACCAAGTGCAGGAATATCTACGCGGCGTCATATTTGATGAAGGCGTGGAGTTCGACTCGGAGTGTCGTGGCATTTTTTGGAGAAGCGGATTTGTGCGGAATGGTGAACGGTGGATCAGTAGCGTTAGGATTATAAACGCTTTCAAATATCGTGTTTAAGGTCAATGCTGGTGCGGCCATTGCTTATGTGAGCCGGCGAGGACTAGGACAAGTCAGACACATCTAGATTTGTCAAGTTTGGCTACACGAGAAGGAACCCATAAGCATATTACAGAAACGTTAACCAAATATGTTAGCAAGGACGATATGTTCAAACACATCCAAGCTCATTGCAGGTTCCAGTTGACATGGTGTTAGCGGGAGGCCCGATCTAGCGCCCGCTGCGGGGTGTTAGCTTGGTCCGTGTCCTGGTTATTTTCGCGTGCCGCTGTGTCGGGGATTTGAGCCCAGGGTCAGTTGGGAGCCAGGCGTGCGTACGCACAAGTCAGAAGATGGGGATTATTCTGCGTGATCAGGTGCTTTGCGACACTGGCAATCGTGTTTTGCGTGCTAGTGAGCGCTTTGCACGCTTACACTCAAATCATAGTGGCCTTCCATTTGCACCAGCTGTGTTTTAATCATCTCAGTTTCGCATTTGGCGAGCCAGGATGGAGTCCTGGCTTAGAGACGCACTTGTCTTCAATCTTTCCATTGCCAATTTTGCTTCATACGTGTTTTTCGCCGGCCGCACTCGTCGGCCACCATGGTCGGTGTGTGTGTGTGTGCTACATGTCCATGCGACTGTGTGAGCAACGCGGTTCCAGAGGTCCAGTGATGCATGCTCGTTGTGGGCCACAACTGTTTAGCTCAGTGTCCAACTAGGTATATATCTTTTAATAAAAGGATCCCAGTATATTCCCAGAAGGATGAGGTGGAGGAGGAGTAGGAGAAGGAGGGGGAGGAAACGGAAAACGAGCACGACAGCTAGAGGCATCTTGGATGACCATCGGGGTCTCGTCGGATTTCATTCGAGAGTTTCTTGGGGTCCTCCTGGGGCGTCGTGGGGGCTTCTTGAGGCGTCTTGGTGCCTCTGGGGGGCCTCTTGGACCCTCTTGGTGGTCTTTTGGGGGCCTCTTACGTGCATCTTGGTTGCATCGTGAAGTCCTGTTGGGGTCTCATAGGCACCTCTGTGGGCCGTCTTGGGGCACCCTTGGAAGCCTCGGGGGCCGTCTTGGGGTCTTGGGGCCATATAGGAGGAGATCGATCAGAAGAGGGGGGGTCCTCATTGCCCCCCCCCCCCGCCAGGAGGCCAACATGTGACCAACACCGAACTCACATCAGTGATTTAGGCCTTCTCGCCGAGGCCTCTTGGGGCGTCATGGTGCCTCTGGGGACCTCTTGGGGCCTCTTGCGGGTGTCGTGGGAACCTCTTATGGGCATCTTGGGGGCCTTTCGGGGGCCTCCCAGGTACATCTGGGGGCCCTCTCGGGGTACCCTGGGGAGTCGGGGGCCATCTTTGGGCCATCTTGGAGGAGATCGATCAAAGGAGGGGAGCTCTTCAAGTAGCGTTGCCCCCCCCCCCAGAAGGGCAACATCAGGCCAAATGATGTGGACTTCCTCGCCGAGGTTATCCCAGACGTTTCAACGCCTCGCGACCCCTCCCTTCAAGACTCAGGGGAAAGCGGTAGGGTGAAGGATTCAGCTGCCCACCCGCCCGCAAACCGTTTTGCTCACCCCACCCGCCCCGACACATAAGTAACACCCGGGTGTTAGAGCGCCGCAGAAGCCACGGGTCCCAGATGCACCAGACACCCTGAAGGCCCAAGCGTGCCAGGCGCGCCAGTTGCGGCACGTGCTCCACGTGTGCCCACTGTTACACGTGTTCCAGCAACGCCAGGCGTCAGTCATTGGGATCCAGTAGGGAATCCGCCTGCGTGCGCCGCAATTGTTGCTACGCCAGCAATTGCGCACGCCTCAGTGCATGACTTTGGCTGCTGGCCACCGCGCGCGTGGGGCTTTCTTTGGGTCCAGTTTGGAATCCTTTTCGGCCCGGCTTGGAGCTTTCTTGGCCAATTTGGAGCTGTTTGGAGGCTTTGAAAGCCCATCGGAAACGAAAAGGCGAGAAGGCAGCAGCAATTGATTTGTCAAAGCAGTCGGTCGGCAGCCCAGCCGTCCCTGTATAATACCAATACGAAGAAGTCGCGGGGCGGCCGCGCATGCTCCAAATGTAACGGCATTTTTGACAGGGATGCTTGGGGTGTGTGATCATGGGATCAGCATTGCTCGGGGTTGGCTGCCGGTCAGGTGGGGGAGGGTTGTATACACATAGGGAACAGTGATAATTCCGTTCCCGAAGGACAAGGAGGTTTGAAGAAGAAACGCTCTTAACCACTGCGCCCAGAGAGCTGGTGGGATTTAGTCGCCGCCAGCGCTGGCCCCTGGGGGCATCGGGGCCGGGAGGCCCCCGTCGCCCCCCTTACCGTTTCCCTCCTTCTCCTCCCTCTCGTTTCGTTCTACGCAACCCTTCCTTGTCCCCCCCCCAGACGTGTCAGTAGGGCGCGCCGGGCGTTTCTCTTAAGACCTCCTCACCATTTCTGATCCTTTAGCTTGACATTTGCAACAGGCTCAAGAATGGAGGGAGGTGTCCCGTTTTCAAAATGTGGTTATCGTTTTAGCTCCGTGCGCATTTGTTTCAAACCTTCCGAACAACTGCAAGGATGGAGGACGGCCTGTTTTCCAGGTGTGGCTGGTGCCTCGGTGCCGCGCACATGTGTCTAACAATGCTGCAACAGTCTTACGGATGAAAGGTGTCTCTTTGTCAAACTGTGGCTCTTCGTTTAGACCCGCGCACATTCGTTCTCAGAGTTTGCAACAGTTTTCAGGATTCGTATGCTTGAAGTCCCAGGAATGGTGTTCTGGCAAGATCTAAGATTGCCTGGACGCAACAGTCACAGGGATTCGTGGTATTGATGTTCTACGAATGGCTTTCTGGCACGGCTCAGGATTGTCTCGTTGATTCCCAGCGTTGAAGTTCAAGGTAAGGTGTTTTGGCACGACTGAGGAGTCTCAGACGTTTGGCTTCCAATGGGGCATTTCCCGCAATGAAGACAGATTCTTGTAATTAGGGGCCCATGGACACCGAACTTGGAAGTAGGATTTATTGCAACATCTTTGATGCGTTTTGGGCTTACACTGGTCCTCCTCCTCCCCCTCCGCCTCCAACACCTCCTCCTCCTCCTCCTCCGATTCCTCCGATTCCTCCTCCTCCTCCTGGGCGGGGCCATGACCTTTGTGTCCTACGCCCGCTGGGGGCGCTGCCGCGCCGCCGCGCTGTCCCCGTGGAGCCGGCGGGTCAACCTGCTGCTGCGGGCCCCGCGCCCGCTCGCCCCGGGGGGCGGCGGCGCGGGCAGGGGGGCAGGGGAGCAGGGGGGGGCGGAGGGAAGGGCAGGGTCCTGGGGTCCACGAGGCTCCGAATGTCCCACGCGGTGGGGCTTGGCAAGGCCCTGCCTCAGGCCAGTCATCCCTCCCTCCCTCGTGTGTTGCCACGATCATATCATATCTTACTGCCGCCACCGTCCATCGTCCTCCTCAGCTCGCAGCCTCTGCTAGAACGTCTGCGCTGTGTGCCTCATGACTCGGCAAAGAAAGAAGGGGAGGAGTGGGAGTGGTATGCAGGCGTGCGGCAGGGAAGGGCGGCCACCAGGCGCGTGCCACTGCTCGCAGAGGTGCCTGCTCTCAAGCCTCTGAAAACACATGTGTGCCTCGATGTGCATGTGCAGAAGCTATGCGGCAGCCTTGGGCACGACGCTCGGGCACCACTGTTGTCACCGAGCCGGGCAATTTATCCGGCTCGATGCAACAGATCGTAAATCGCCCGCGGCGGATGCAGGCCATTGGCGAATAGTGATGTTGCGAGTAGCGGAACGTGCCTGTCCAGTAACGGGCGGGCGAGGAGTGGCGCGGCGTGCCGGGGAGGAGGCGAGGAGCACGGGAGCGGTGAGGGCAGAGGGCGGGCAGGGGAGGGGAAACGGGCGGGGCAGGTGAGGGCGTTGGGCGAGGAGGGGGCGGAGGAGAGGGCGGGGTGTGTGGAGCGAGTGCACTCCGGTCGTTCGAAGTAGGTATTTGTGGAGTCCCAGGTCCTAATCTGCTTCAAGCGCCTTCCTACAATAATCGATATGCTTTTGCTGTGTTTATGTTTTTCTAGTCCATGTTTTACCTATTTGGTAAAAGGGGGCGAGGGCATGGCCCGCGCCAGGAGTGGCCTGGCGGCGTTCCCGTTCCGAATGTTCGAAAAGCTCTGGTTCTACACGTAGCACCCCGCAACTGCCGATAATAGTGAGGGGGCCGGCGCGTGGTGGGTCGTTGGTGGGTCGCGGGTGGGTCGCGGGTTGGTTGCGGGGTGGGTCGCGGGTTAGGTCGCGGGTTGGTCACGGGCAGGTCGCGGGCGAGGATGACGACAACGCAACAACGAGCAACCAAGCTGAGTCCGCCTCGCAGAACGCCACTTGAGCCACGCACCCAGGGACAATGAATGACAGTTCGGCCCCCCCACTCTAGTTCTGGCAGGCTGTTCACCCCTGCGCTGCGCTCCGCAATCAGCTCGCATACGTTTTCCTCAATTGGTTGACGTTTGTTGATTTACCTATCTTCATCGTGCGTCCGCGACGTGTCAATATGGTGTTTTTTTTCCGACGTTGTTCGAGGTCGGTGGGATGATGCAAAGGAGGACTTTGGTGATAAGGATGGCGAGGGGGAGGAGGAGGAGGAGGAGGAGGAGGACGAGGAGGAGGAGGAGGACGAGGAGGAGGAGGAGGAGGAGGAGGAGGAGGAGGAGGAGGGGGAGAGTAGGAGCTAGGAAGGAGCGGGCCACCTTCCATCACTGTTGAGACAGTATTGGGCCTCTTTTTTTCAGCGCGGAGGCCCTCTGCGTGTAAACTTGCCCTGTCTGGGGCCACGCCTCCTGATCTTCGGACACGCTGATGCAAACTTCGGAAGTATCGGAAGGACGTGGGTAGATTTTTCACTGAGATAGCGTTTGTCTCGTTCGAGACGCTGGGTCTTCGGCGAGAGTTCGCTGAGGTGTTGGTCTCGCCCGTACGCGAGTGGCCCTGATGGCCACGTGTTCTAAAGTCCTCCGGGTGCCAGGGTCAGTGATCAGCAAGGGATGGATTGAGCGAGGTTGGCGGAGGAGGATAAGGATGAGGATGAGGATGAGGAGGATGAAGAGCATGAGGAGGAGGAGGAGGAGGAGGAGGAGGAGGAGGAGGAGGAGGAGGAGGAGGAGGAGGAGGAGGAGGATGGGGAGGAGGAGGAGGAGGAGGATGGGGAGGAGGAGGAGGTGGAGGAGGAGGAGGAGGATGAGGCAGAGGAGGAGGAGGATGAGCATCAGGAGGAGGAGGAGGAAGAGGAGGAGGATGATGAGAAGGTGCAGGTGGAGGAGGAGAGGAGGAGGAGGAAGATGTGCAGGTGCAGGTGGTGGAGGAGGAGGAGGAGGAGGAGGAAGAGGAGGATGAGGAGGGAGGAGGAGGAGGAATGATCATGCAGGAGGAGGGCGGAGGAAGCACGCTCTCCAAGGAGCTATCTGGGCAAAACTTAGATAGCAGCAGCGCCGTCCAGAGCATGTGAAACGGGGGCTTGCCAGAACGCTGGAAAGCATGCCTTGGGAGTCTGTGAGCTGGGGAAAACGTCTGTGGGGAACGCTTGCTGGGTGGCCGGGCAGTATGCCTGGGGAGCTTGCAAGCTGTGGTGGGGAAAGGGAGCTTCGCAGGAGCTCCAAAGGAGCTTCGAAGGAACTGCTCCCTGGAGCGTGTTTCTTTGTTGCTTGGGGCATAATGTGCATTATAGCCCCCGGCCCCCCCTTCCCCCCCTTAACGTAACGCCCCTCCCCCCCAGTGCGCTCCGGGCACTGCCGCCGTGCGCACGGCGGGGGGGAGGCGTTACGTTATACCCCCCCTGGCCACTCCCCCCCCCACCCCTGTAATGCCCAGTATCGCCGACAAGAAAGTCACGCGCTTCTGCCCCCTCCCCCTCCCCACCTCCTCCCTGCCTCCTGCGTCCTCCTCTTCCTCCTCCTCATCCTCCTCCTTCTTTCTCCTCCTCCTCCTTTCTCCTCCTCCTCTGCCCCCTCCCCCTCCCCCAGCTCCCTCCCCTGGCCGCCGGCGCCCCGGCGTGCGTTCCCGCAGGCCCACCGGGGGCTTGCCGGCGCGCCGCTGCTACGCGCGGCGGCGGAGCACAGGCGGCGAAACGCGCTGCGCGTGTTCTCTGCAGAGAGAGAGAGAGAGAGTGAGAGGGACAGTGAGATAACAACAATCATATTTCCAGAATAATATAGTAATAGTATTGGTATTACGATTCGTAGTTGTAATAATAATATGGATGCAATATTGAGCCCCAAAATAATAAGAGAAAGAAGAGTAGTGATATTAAGAGAGAGAGAGAGAGAGAGAGAGTGCTTACGAGAAATGCGCCTGTTCTCCGCGAGGATATTTGTATACGTTTATGGATTTATGTATGTATGTGTTGTGTATATATGTATCTGTATCTGTATGTATGTACGTATGTATGTATGTATGCATGTATGTATGTATGCATGTATGCATGTATGTATGTATGTATGCATGCATGTATGTATGTATGTATGCATGTATGTACGTACGTACGTATGTACGTACGTACGTATGTATGTATGTATGTATGTATGTATGTATGCATGCATGCATGTATGTATGTATGTATGTATGTATGTATGTACGTATGTATGATATATATATATATACACTGCTGTTTCTATGTCTATAGAGAGACAGAGAGAGAAAGAGAAAAAGAGGGAGAGAGAGAGAGAGAGTGAGGGAGAGGAACACGAGGGAGAGAGGGAGGGGAGCAGGGAGTGGAGGGAGGGGAGAAGGGGGGTGGGAGGGAGGAGGGAGGCACTCAGGCGGAGACGAACCTTCACCCACCGAGATCCCTGATGAAGCTGATAGAAAATGAGAGAGAGAGAGGGATATGATATACATGCATGCATGTATGTATGTATGTATGCATGTATGTATGTATGTATGTATGTATGTATGTATGTATGCTTGACCGGAAGGGGCCTACTCCCGACCCGCAGACCTCCCTAACATGTATGTATGTAGGTATGTGTGTATATGCGTGTATGCGTTTATGTGTGTATGTGTGTATGTGTGTGTATGTGTGTATGTGTGTCTGTATGTATGCATGCATCGTATAATCTTAACGCAGGTGGGTTTTGGGGTCCGCGGATCCGATTTCGTCCTGCTCCCCGTTTCAATAGTATAGAGTTAAACCCGGGTATAAATCGGATTTGCCGTGAAACATAAGTCAAAGAAGGCCAGACGCGGATCCAGAAAATCCGAAGTCGGATCCGCGCGGACGGAAATCGGATCCACAAACATAACAACCAAAACCACAATCGGATCCACTCGACCTGCTGGGATCCGACGACGGTTATCTCATAGGCGTCTGCTCAAGACTTCACACCCTCCTTCCTGGCCCAAGAGGAAAACACTTTCATCCTGCGGATGGGAGTTTTGGCCTACGGACTTGATTTTACCACATAGCCGACGCATCACCTCTGCGTTTTGGTCTTCGGACTTGTTGGTTACCGTATATTGCCGACGCACCGCATCTCACAGGCAGTCCGTTCGGTCAGGAGACGCAGGGCCGAAACGCATTGGCGTTTTGGCCTACGGACTTGTTGGCTACCACATAGCCGACGCACCACATCTGCGTTTTGTCCTTCGGACTTGTTGGTTGCCGCGTAGCCGACGCACCACATCTCGCAGGCAGTCCGTTGGGTCAGGAGACGCATGGCCGAAACGCACTGGGCGTTTTGGCCTACGGACTTGTTGGCTACCACATAGCCGACGCACCACATCTGTCATTTGGCCTCTCGGATTTGTTGGTTACCACATAGCCCACGCACCACATCTCACAGGCAGTCCGTTGGGTCAGGAAACGCAGGGCCGAAACGCAGTGCCCACGGACATAATGGTTACCCACCACATAGCCGACGCACCATATCTGTCATTTGGCCTCTCGGACTTGTTGGCTACCACATAGCCGACGGACCACATCTCACAGGCAGTCCGTTGGGTCAGGAGACGCAGGGCCGAAACGCGCTGAGTGTGTTAGCCTACGGACTTGTTGGTTACCACGTAGCCGACGCACCACATCTGCGTTTTGGCCTTCGGACTTGTTGGTTACCACATAGCCCACGCACCACATCTCACAGGCAGTTCGTTAGGTCAGGAAACGCAGGGCCGAAACGCAGTGCCCACGGACATGTTGGTTACCTACCACATAGCCGACGCACCATGTCTGTCATTTGGCCTCTCGGACTTGGTGTTCACCACGTAGCCGACGGACCACATCTCACAGGCAGTCCGTTGGGTCAGGAGACGCAGGGCCGAAACGCGCTGGGTGTTTTAGCCTACGGACTTGTTAGCTACCACAGCCCACGCATCACATCTCACAGGCAGTCCGTTGAGTCAGGAGACGCATGGCCGAAACGCACCCGGCGTTTTGGCCTACGGACTTGTTGGCTACCACATAGCCGACGCACCACATCTGTGATTTGGCCTTCGGACTTGTTGGTTACCACATAGTCGACGCACCACATATCACAGGCAGTCCGCTGGGTCAGGAAACCCGGGGCCGAAACGCACTGGCCTTTGGCCCACGGATTTGTGGCTTACCACATAGCCAACGCACGGCATCTGCCTTTTGGCCTTCGGACTTGTTGGTGACCACATAGCCGACGCACCACATCTCACAGGCAGTCCGTTGGGTCAGGACGCGCAGGGCCGAAACGCACTGGGTCCGGACTTGTTGGTTAGTACGTAGCCGACGCACCACTTGTTGGTTACCACATGACCGACGCACCACATCACACAGGCAGTCCGTTGGGTCAGGACACGCACGGCCGAAACGCACTGGCCTTTGGCCTGCGGACGTGTTGGTTACCACGTAGCCGACGCACCACATCGTTTTTTTTTGGCCTTCAGACTTGTTGTGGTTTTGCCACATAGCCGACGCCCCGCATCTCACAGGCAGTCCGTTGGGTTAGGCGACGCAGGACCGAAGCGCACTTATGCAGGACGACCGATTTTCCTCTTCAGGTGAAAATGGCGGTGATGAGTTCGACGGATAATGTCGGCGCTGCCGAACGGAGGGCGTCCCCGTTTTAATTGAATGATATAAGTTTGAAGCGGGGTATGGGTCGGACCCGCGGGGGGAAAAAAAACAAGGCCGGACGTGGATTCAACGCGTCCGTAACCGGATCCGCGCCGACGGACATAGGATCCACCGACACAGCAACCGAAACCATAATTGGATCCGTTCGACCTTCATGTGATCCGACGACGGTTGCTTCATGCGCGTCTGCTCAAGACTTTAGACCTTCGTTCCGAGCACAAGAGGAAGAAACGTTCGTCCTCGGGATCTAGATATATGTGCTTACGAGAAGTGCGCGCGCATCCCCCCTCAATCGAATTATTGGGGGTGGGATGCAGTGGTGCGCGCTCGCGATGCTCGTGTCCCAGCCCCCCCGCCCTGCTTCGTCTGTGCCCGAATGAGCTCCCTCGCCTCTACCCCCGCGCCGCCCACTGTAAAGGGGGAGGGTGACATGCGTCGCACTCCCAGCAGATGTATCGCTGTGCGATGATCGGCGGACGACGACGGTGGCCAGCGAACGGTGACCAGGACGACGGTCGACATCGACAAACGGCGAACGGCGAAGTACGAACGACGAGCGGCGAACGTCGAACGACGCCGCACATCTGGGCGTATCGCAACGCTACCACCGCGTGGGGGGTGGGTGGGGAGGGGGTCTGCGTGAGAAGAAATTGGAAGGCTCTTTGGCTCGCGCGTCGCGTCGGCGGCGGTCTCGGCGCGCGATTCTCGCGCGGGGGTCGACGCGCGGTGCCAGGCAGCCTCCTCGCGCTATCGTGTAGCGCTCTCGCGCGCGGGCTAGGGCTCGCTCGTCGCATCAGTGACCCGCTCGCGCTGGGGTCGGCGTTCAGCGCCAGGCAGACTCTTCGATCAACTGGCCAGCGAGCGCTCCAGCACGCGGGCGAGGACTCGCGCGGCGCGCTTCGCGCGGTCTCAGCACGCGATTTTCGCTTGGGCGTCGGCGCGCGGCGCCCAGCAGCCCCCTCGCGCGAGTTGGCAGTGTTCGGGCGCGCGGGGGAGGGCTCGCGCGCGCAGGAGAGGGCTCGCGCTCCGCATCGGCGGTGGTCCCTGGTCTCGAGTTTCCTCGCGGGGTCGGCGCGCGGCGCCAAGGGACTTCCTTGCGCGAGGTTGCCGCGCTCGAGCGCGCGGGGGAGGGCTAGCGCGTCGCCTCGGCGGTGGCATCGGAATGACATTTTGGCACAGGACGGGCGCGTTTGCGTAATGTTGTTTTTTTGCGGATGCGCCGCGAACGCGCTGCATGTGCAGGCGCATCGCAACGCGACCGCCGCGCGAGGGGTTGGCGGGGGGGTCAACGTCGAAATAATCCCACCAGCCCTCTGGGCGTCGGTGGTTTAGGGCGTTTCCTCTTCCACCCCTCCCTCTTCCCCTGCGGGGAGGGGTTTACCTCTCCTACCCCCTCCCCGTGGACCTGGGCGGGGGGGGCCGCAGGTAGTTTGAGCGTCCAAAACGGCTTCGGCGAGGACGCTAAAATCATTGATTCTATTCCGGTTTTGAATCCATTTTGGCCTCCTGGGGGGGGGGCGTAGTTGAGGGCCCCCCCTTCGTTGACCGATCTCCTCCAAGATGGCCCCAAGAAGCGCCCGGGATCCCCAAGAGGTCCCAAGATGGCCCCAGGATGGCCTCAAGAGGCCCCCGAGAGGTCCCCAGGAGGTCCCCAAGAAGACCCCAAGCGGTCCCAAGGGCCCCCCCCGAGGCACCCGAGACTTCGAAGAGCCCCCCAGGATCGCCAAGAGACCCCCAAGACGTCCCAAGAGGCCACCGAGAATCGCCCAAGAGATACCCGAGGAGGCTCCGAGAGGCATCCAACAGACCTCTGGCCCTTGTGCTTGCCCTCCTCCTCCTCCTCCTCCTCCTCCTCCTCCTGTTCCTCCTTCCTGCTCCTGCTCCTTCTCTTCCTCCTCCTCCTCCTCCTCCTCCTCCTCCGCCTCCTCCTCATCCTATTCACCCCCCTTCTTCCCACTCCCTTATCTATCCATCCATCCACCTCCTTCTCCTCCAGATTCCTGTGCACGGTTCGGCCGT